GAGGACTGCGTATTCGAAGCCAGCCTCAGCAACTTAGTGAGACCTTGTCTGAAAATCATTTTTTTTTAAAGGGCTAGGGATGTAGTTCAGTTGTTAAGTACCCCTGGGTGGGGATGTGGCATAATGGTAAAGGAACTCTGGTTTCAATCTCAGTGCCGAGGGTGGGGGGAGAGAAAGTATGGATTAAATAGACACTGATAATAATTCTATAAATACTGTGAAATGGATCTGCTACTGACGTCCTTTGCTGCCATAGCTTAGTTCCTCTCTTTGAGAAACATCAGTTATTCATTCAGTGTGGCCCCAGTCTCTCACCTTCTGTAGTTCTCAGCTAAAACATCAGACACTCAAAAAACTTTCTTGACCTTCCTATCCAGATAATCTACCCTCCTGAGCTTGTATTCCTCTTCCCCTGCCTACCTCCGTTCCCTTATCCCATCTGCCTGAATGTGAGAACTCACTTTCAAGACCAGGGACTTTTTCTGTCTTGAGCATCATGTGCCCTCATCTCCAAGAGGCTGCTCAGGGTACTCAGTAAATGTGTTGACTGAAGGAAGGAATAGATCAGTATGAATTAACTGGCACATATAAACAATTGCACATAAAATCTAGCTCATAGAAATGTAGTTGCAAATATTTCCAAAAGTAATAAATGTTACATATTGTTGGTCAACTCTAAGAACAGCTTAGAGTTGTTTCTGACTCAGTTTCACTGAGTCAGAAACCAATTGACTCGGTGAAAACAGTGTGAAAGATTGGCAGCCTAGGCAGTGAGCCAGGCTTCAGATTGTCCTGTTGCTGGCTTCTGACTTAATTAGCAAGTATTTATTGTCACTAATGTGAAGGTTTCATTTATGTCATATTTCTTCCTAAAAAGAATTTTACCTTTCCATGGTCATTTTAGTATTTTCTCCCCTTTTGGAGAGATAAATCTTTGCAATTATCCATTAGAAAGCAACAGATTTTTTTCTTCAAAGAAAAATGGTAAGATTTACAGTTTGCAATAATATTTAACAAAATTATCAGAAAAATCTTTGACATTTAGAATATTTCAAAATTAAATCTTCAGGTGTTTTTGAATTTGAATGGTTTATGTTAAGAAGTATTTGATTTTTTTTTTCCAAATCAAAAGATACATATGCATGAGCTGACAACATTTCTTGAGGCTAAGATTAAATGGCACGAGAACTCCTGATTTCTTATGTTGCTTTATCAGTGGCACAGCACTTTCGTATATGAGCTCCCTTGTCTCAGTCCTCCAAAAATCCTAGGCTTACAGATGCATATATTATTATCTCTGTTTCACACTTGAGTAAACTTGGCATCAAAGGATTTTGGTTATTTGCCTTGGTTCACCCTGCTGATTAGAGACAGATGAGGGGCAAACTTTATGTCTCTTTATTTCAAGTTCTTTGAGCAACACTGGTGCAAAAATAACAGCAATAAAATTAGAAAGTGCCTTAGTCTTTCTGTTTACTTTGAAGTTTTAAACATTATACATCAATGCCCTGAGCCGTCTCTCATGTACAAAACTTGGTGGTGAGACATGATGTCAAGCTTCCATGCAGGAATTGCAGGTGGAAACGGCAGCCATGGCCTAATGGTGCCAATGTGGACACAGGGACAGCTGTTTTTTTCAGTCTGTTCAGGTCTCTGAGCCCCTGAATTTCCTCCCACCCTCCTTCCATGGGACTGAACCTTTTCCTCTTTCCTCCCACACCCGGATCACAGCTGAGTGGCCAGGAGCCATTCCAGCACCCATCACAGTGGAGAGAAGGCTCTGAGGTCCCAAGACAAATGGTAGACCTGATAGAGCAACTGCCTCTGACCCAATCCAAGGTCAGCTTGCATATCCTCCTCCAGAGCATCTTAGGCCTGCAGGAGCTATGGGTGCACCATGCACACATGGGCAGATTCTGAACACTCTTCAGGCTTCCGGCATCACAGTCTCTCTTGAGCTGGAAGCTGAATGTTCACGTTTCAGACATGCATCTTCAAAGCCCTTTCAAAATCACATTGTTCATGAAAATTGCCAGTGCCTGAATTCTCTAGCCACTAACTTTGTCATATGAGGAGAAGAAATAGGAAGAATAGAAACATGTGATAAAATTGAAGTATTAGTGCTAGAACTGTTGCAGAAATTTGTCATGAAATGTTATATGGACACAGATATTATTCTTGCAGGATGTATATCTTCAAGGTCAGGGGAAGCTGTCAGTACCATTGGTCTGGTTTTCTCTTTTGCTTATCCATGTTTTGATTATATTTTTCTGTTCTGCAGTTCTGAGTCCTCAACGTGGTCAAGGTCAAGTTCCCAGAATTGTTCTCTACTAACATAATAGATGAGAACATTTGGCCTTGATGTCTATGACATTTTGGACCAAATCAGAATTTCTTCAGAAATTTTCTTCTTATGATAGCATAGTATATGGTACTTTAGACTCACTGTTAAATAGACCATAATGCTGATGGAAAATTCCTACTAAAAAAAAAGAAAAGTACATTTTCTTTGAATTAGCAGATACATCTTTGTGAAATTTTGGTGCATATTCCCAAAAGTTGTTATGTGATATTCTTTCTCTCAAAATTGCCCAAAGTCAAATAGATCTTGTGAGTATGGATCCCATGATGCATTCTTCTTAAACAAGGGTAGTAGAACACATGAATTCTAGCAGAGGCACTTTTAAACTCTGATTCCTTGCCTCTCTTCTTTCCCCTAATTCTTTACGTCTCTCTTATAGCTTATAACTGTGCCCATCCACAGATATTGAAATCTGATCACAGTGGATCAACAGTATAAACAATGCTCCTTTTAAAATGCCTTATCTCCTTCCATGTTCTGCATGATGCTTAAATGTCCAACTGTATTTTACACAAGTATTTTTGCAGGAAAACACTATGAGCTTATAGTTTCACCAGCAGCATGATAATAGGAGAAAATATATGGCACACTATTCAAGTCCTCAATAATTTTATGATCATCAACATCAGCACATTGAAATTATATCCACAGAGGTAGACTTTACCTCTTGCTTAGAACCCGTGATTGATGGATGGTACTAATAAAAAGTTCCTTATGCCAAGAGGTTCCTCATATATGCCCTATGATCATGTCACCACTTAGAGATTCAAGCAGTTCCTCTGGTGGTTCAATATGAGATGTTTTTTGAGACTGAGAACGAGGGAATGGTGATAAAGTTAGCACTCTACCAATGATGGCTAACTTCTATTTAACTATACATTTGGATATAATTATTACTTCCTTGTTTCTACACTTTTGAATCCTTAGCGATGCTATCTGAATCTTCAGGAGTAAGAATTGTCAGCTGAAACTCAAGGTGTGTTGTACTTAAATATATTCCTGGAAAATCTGAGCTGGAGATAATATTCAGTGCAGTGTTGGCATTTGACAAATCAGATGCAATGAACCTAATTATGCAAAACAATTATTTCCAATCCATCATTCATCTCAACACTATCTAAATCAGACATTATTTAATTACTGCAAAGGGAAAGGTAAGGATCTTGCCTGCCCTACTTCTTTCCTTTCCTCAAAGCAAGCAGTGCTTTTTATTAATACTGCATTCAAAGCATTCTCCACATTGCCCCCTCATCCGGAAATGTTGTTTTCTGTTTATTTAAATTCAGAGCAGCATGTGCTAAATATATCAGTAAAACATTTATCTGTCAGCAATTTTGAAACTTTTGAATGGCTTTTTTCTTCAAATACACTAGATGAGAATATTCAAATTCTTTGGTCATATGTTCCTAAAGAAGCAACCTTATCTTTGAGCATTTGAAGATTTTGGCTTGTTGGTGTCCTCTGGGAACGGCCTGGACAAGTAGAAGGGACATAGAACTATCCAGAGGCTCTGTCAAAGTCAAGGAGTTCCAACCCACATGTACTTTAGACTGCAATGGAGAGCTCTAAATTTGGCCTATAGAAGTGACAGCTGGCAGTTGAATTCCAATGTGCCAAGTGGGTACCCATTGGGGGGATTTCACTGAAGGGTCCTTCTCAAGCCAGCTGTAGTCTCCTTTGTTCTCTTGTTGTCATGGATAGACCATGTCTCTCTAGGCTCCCCAAGTCCATCTCAGGCCCCAGTTCCCCTGACATTTCTCCTCTAATATTGGCTCTCGGCATCTGTTGGCTCAGCTCAGGGTGTGCAGAGGCTTCCTTCCTTAAGAAACATCTGCCAGGTTCCCTGGTCTACAATATTGCTTCAAAGCAGCATTTTCCCCATAACATGCAATCAAGTGTCATAAATAAGGGCTCACAAATGATAAAGAGACAAATGATTTGTGGCCTCAATTTATAAATAAACCAGTCAATGACAATCATATATATATATATATATATATATATATTTTTTTTTTTTTTGGCTAAACATAAATACATCAGTTTGGAGAATCAAGAATAAAAGAAAATATAACTCAGAAACCTTTTTCTTTAATGTCTACTTCTCTCAGGGTCTCAGGCTGCTGTCAGCCCAGATATTTTTGACTCCTTCATTGTCTTGGGAAACATTGCTGATGGGAACAAATTCCTTTCTACTTCTTAGGGGCAGCATCAAGGTGGTTTTGCCTTTGTGGCTCCTTCATTTCCTCTTCACTTATGATATTTCTGTTGTATAATTTAGGGTATGAGGACTATGGGTAATAAGAGGTTTTTAGAATCCACTGCCTGCCTGATTCCTTTGGTGAAGAATCCAGTTACATTCATCAGGCTGTGAGAAAACTGATGTTTCCCCATTTTTGTTCAGTGTGGACTTATCTCAGAAACATTATCGTCCTCGGAGTGATCAGCTCTGGGAGCAGATCAAGGCTGCTGAATGGCGCGATAAGCTGACCAGCTTGAGGGGTTGCTGCCATTTTATGGTATTCGTTTGGTTTTCTGAAGATTGCAATCATTCTGTCTCTCCCCAAATTCAAATATTCTTGGATAGAACTCGGTGCGAATATTGGCTGAGCTTTAATGTGCCCCTGTTAATTTATTTCAGCTGGGTCCCGAGCCTCATACAGCAGCCAGCATGGGCACCTGGGCCCTGAGCTGCGGGCCCTGCAATCCCCAGAACACCACATAGACCCCATCTACGAAGACCGCGTCTATCAGAAGCCCCCTATGAGGAGTCTCAGCCAGAGCCAGGGGGACCCTCTGCCGCCAGCACACACCGGCACCTACCGCACGAGCACAGGTGTGTATTCAGGACCCCACTGCCAGTCAACAGGGGGTGGGATTCCTTGGAAGCTTAAACATTGCCCCCCAATGAAACGTGTGCGTGTGTGCGTGCATGTGTGCCTGTGTACCTGCTCCCCACCAGCATTGTCACCTGCCCCTACCAGCAATGTCTGAGGTAACGAGGGTATAAACAGAATGTGACTTCAATTTAGCGAACAGTGTATACCATGAATGACGGAATTACAATGGGGATTGGAAGCCTGATTTGTCAAGCAGGAATATTGAAAGAAGCAGTACTGATGTTTCATACCTCCTTATTAATCTACCTAATGAACATAAGAACTCCAAGAAAACATAGCCATTACAGAGAACATAAAATGCAAATGCCTGATGATCATAAGTGTTTTTTAATGGTGTCATCTACTTATTTGGCAAGCTTGGGGAAAAAATATTTCCTAAAAATGTAGCATATTTTGAAAGGCACACTTGTATTTTGTTTTCATACACGTGATAAGTTGAATCACATGAAATCATTGTTTAAAGGTCTGGTGCTGGCAGTTGCGTGTGATTCAATCAACTCTATAGCTCTCCTGGATTAGATCTGTTTTGAATTGTACAGAGTCATAGGCCACAGGAAGAAAGACAAGGTTTCCCAGAGTATATGGCTATTTAGAAAATAATTGATCCAATGTCATGATTACAGTGTTAGAGGACAGCCAAGGGGATGTTGCTGGTCTGCAGAACTGTAGCTCTCTTCTTTCCTCTGAAGTCCCCCAGTGCTGACAGTAGCTGAGGATCTGGTCCAAAACTTGGCAAACAGATCTGTGTAGCCTCAGAGTTTTGTAATGTCTGGTAGCCACTAACTGCAGTGTAGCAATTTTGTTAAACTCTATTATGATACTAAATTACACGTTTTGAAATCAAGACCAGCTAAGCTACTTTTATCGTTGATTATTGATATTTACATTATAGTGTTTCACTGTCTCATAGGAAGAAAGGCACCAAACACTCTTTATTTTGTTTCTGACATCGTAAATGCTGCCCCATGTTAATAGTACATATCTTGGTATAGATGAAAAAGAATACCCATTTATTCTTCTGTCAGATTTCTCTCACCTTCAGCCTGCTAGGTCTACTCCTATCTGGAGTTGGACTACTTGAACATTTTATTTTTGCATGTAATCAACTACAGTAATCTTATTTCTGTGTACTTCTTGTCAAGGAGAAGTAACAATTTCAGTGACATTCAGTACCTAATTTGAATAAAAACTGATGGCAAGAGAGATTTATTAATTCTCTGTTGCATATGTGTACGCTGTTAGAATTATCTCTTGTTAATCAACTTCTAGAGGATTCATGAAAAATCCACTCCCATAATAAAAAAAAAGCTTAATTAATCTATATCACATTGAAGATAGTATAAGGCTCACACTTTATGAAAACAAACAAAATGAAACTGTAGTGTTTTTCTCTAAGCCTGGAGTCAGTAAATGGTGGCCTGGGGGTCAGATTCAGCTCACCACCTGGTTTAACAGCACTCAAAAGAGTTAAAGAATGACTACTCTGTGTTTAAATGGTTGGAAAAGATCAGAAGGTGAATGATGACTTGTAATATGTGCAGATGGCATAAGAGTCACATATCAGTGTCCATGAGTAAAGCACAGACTGCAGTCCCACCCTTGCGCCTGTGTATCCCTGTGGCCAGTCTGGCTCCAAGTGACAGAGTTTAGAGGCTGTGAGGAGACTTTGGGCTGGCAAAACCAAGAGTAAAGAGCATTTAGGCTCTGGCCCTTGGCAGGGGGACTTTGCTGACCCCTGCTGTATGCCATCAACAGAGAGCTTTCTGAGTGAACCATGTTCTTCTCCTCTCCCGCCTCTGAGGGCAGGTGACAGTGACCTCCAAATACTTCCAGGGGAAGACCTGTGTGCCCTAGGGCTTAGCCAGTAATAATCATGGCAGAGATCCACCAAGGTTGTGACATCCAGATGTCTGAGGCCACATGCCAGCCTGCACCTTTGAACTTGAGACCTTCCTTGAATTTTAAGGAAATCTGGTGGTTTACACAATACTATGAAGTGCATAGATGGTCTTTTGGGAACACAGGTGGAGGAGGAGAAGCTACCTCATTCAAATTCTTAAAGTGTGAAGCCACAAGCTCTTTCCTCTGTACCTGCCCAGGTTGCCCCTTGTCCACACCTGAGCTATTTCATATTCTCACATTTTTCTGAATCCAGAAATCATCTCTATCAGAGCCTGCATATTTGAGAAATATATATATATATCTCCATACTGTAAAATTTTAAAGTCGATCTAGCATAACATATACCTAAAATTAATATTAAAAAGTAGAAATTAAAAATAATGAAATAACGATAAAATAGCTATAATGAGAAATTCTAAGGTAGCTTTCCCACATCTAGTGGATTATCCTTCATATGCCCTGTGCTACTTGCCTAATGCTGGAGACCACTGGGGCAGACCTTGAAGAGGCTCCCAGGGGTGGGGAGAGCCTGATCCCATGGGAGAACTGGACAGGTCCTCATAAGGCTTGTTAGACCTGAGTGCTCAGGACCCCTGGCTCTTAGCTTGGATTGGTAATGGAGTGACCGGAGCAATGAGTCTTACCTTTCTGCTCCCAAGTCCTGGGCCATCATCTAGTGTTCCTTTGGTTGGATCCCTAAAGCATTTCAGACAATGCCTTAGAGAGAGTGGGCTAAGGAGATGGAAAGCCAGTTGCTTCCCATCAGTGAGTCCACTCTTAGGAATGAAGACAGGTATAAGATGCTTCCACACTTAACACCTGATGAGTTGGGATATAGAATCAAGCATGAGAAAGAGAATGAGGTTATTCACACTATGGCTACTTTCAGGAGTGTTCTAGTTGCTCTGAACATATTTACTAATCCCCAGAACAATGCTAAAACAGATTTGGTATTATGATGCTCACTTTATAGATCAGAAAACTGAGGCACAGAGGTGTTGAGTGATCTGACCAAGATTGCACAGGTTTTGTGGAGCCAGCCTTTAAACCTTTGCTCCCAGATAGTCTTGCCCCAAATCCTGGCCTTGGGAAAAACTGCATTTGTAAATATCATCATTTAAAAACATTCAACTTCACAGATGAAAACATATGTATATTCAACAGATCTCATTTGGTTGAGAAGAACTGTTGAAGACACATTGTATACTAGGTGCTCCATCACAGTCAAAGAAGCTCAGAATCTCTTCCTTCCTTGAGCATGTTTCATTCAGTTTCAGAGAAGGAACATGAAAAATTAACAGGTAGTGGATGGTAAATCTTAAAGGATAAATGAATATCCCAGATAAAATCAAAGGCAAAGTATTAATAAAAACACTGAACAGCATATTGTGAGTCTTTGCTTTTGTGCTGGATGACATACAACTCAAGACGAGACTGTGCTATACACAAATTGAAGGATCTCGTTGCCCTGGTCTTCTGCTCATGCCTCCTAAAGATGGCCATCCTGCTCACAGGGAGAGCCTGGCCGTGGGCAGGTGTGTGTTTCTCCTGTCCACCTGCTGTTGTCCAGCGCTGCAGCTGCACTCTCTACTGGCTGGGGCACCTGAGCATTGCTCTGAGATCCTGTGGTTGGTCTCTGTCTCCCCTGGTCAACCCCGTGCTGACCTCATCTCTGGGAGTCTCTGGCCCCAAACACCACCAACTACTCTGAATAATAGACTGCTCTGGGTGGAGAGATTTGCCAAGAGCTGACTACACAGAGGACACCGGAAAGCATCTTCAGACATTAAAGAAGAGTCAGGCTAAAGTTCCCTAATCTTCCCCACCAAGAAAAGTGACCCAGGTGGCATGTCCCGAGGCTCAACCCGTCACCTCTCTCTGCCTTCCTTCTCTGCTGCTGTAAGGAAGAAGTCCATGCCTGCTGCTTTCTAAGGAAGACAATTTAAACCTCAGATGCCAACTTAGTCTGTCTACCTTTGGGCACTCAGAAAACTCCTCTGGTTTTCTTAAACCATAAAGCAGCCTAACCATCCTGTTAGGGACCTCGTGGACAGGCATTTATGAACACTTAGGTCCATGTTTGAGGATCGAGAGGCCCAAGCCTCACTCCTCACTCCTCCTCTGCAGCTTGTGGATGGTGAAACATACACATAGGTGTCATTGTTTACATAGGAATCAATGCCACTTTATGAAGCTTGACAGGCACACAGTCGACAAAGACTGTGTCAGAGAGCATGTGGGATGAAGGGGGTCTCCTGCCCCCTCCACAGTCCCAACTCCTGTCATGCCCCTGCTCACCCAGCCCCTGCATGTGTTAATTAACACGACCCACATGTGTTAATCCCCCACCCAGGCCAGTAGAGGCTGCAGGCTGTGAGGACAGTTCTGCGAGTCTCTCTGGTCCCAGAAGTTCTATGAGTAGAGACAAAGTACAGCAGCTGAGCTTCTGCCCAAGGAGAGCAATTGAGGGTCAGAAGCCAGTGTGGTGGCTCCAGGGATCTGGTGTCCTTAAAGGAAGGAGAAAGGGTTACTTGTGACTCAGCAGTGGTCCCTGGTCACCAGGCTGTCTCAGAGAGTGCCCCATCACCAGATATGATGACTGCTTCTTTCTTATAAAACCACTAAGTGGGCTGGGGAGATGGCAAAGGAGGCCACTGTCCCTGGATGGAGAGGCAGGATTTTGTGAACCAGAAATGGCAGATAGGCGTTTGCATCAACCCAGTGTTGGGGTACTAACAACTGCTTGCACAGTGAAATACAAGAAGGCACAAGTTTAACGAAGGTGTCTGTTTAGATGAAACACACATTTCTTCTGAGGTGAGACTGTCAAAACCAGAGCTTGTACAATCAGAAGGACAGCAGGACAAGGAATGTGTGGGCCTCGTGCATCCCTTAGGGAAAAGTCTATTAAGTAGAAACTAAATAGCCACGATTTCTATTTCAAACCCCAAATGTGAATGATGGCCAACTTGGAAGCCCTTTGGTCAACACAGACGTTTGACTGTGATACTCCCTTGAACGCGTTTTTGCAAAT